CATTTTTATCCGCCGGCATCCTATGTGAGTGTGGCTGAGGCTCACTCATGTTGGTATAAGCCCACATCATGTTTTCATGTCATTACATCGCATTCTGCCATCGCCTCGGTTTGCATGCCCTTGTGCACGCATTTCGAGGCACTCCATTTTTATCCGCCGGCATCCTATGTGAGTGTGGCTGAGGCTCACTCATGTTGGTATAAGCCCATATCACATTTTCATGTCATTCGCATTTTGCCTTTGCCTCGGTTTGCATGCCCGTGTGCACGCATTTCGAGGCACCTCTTTTTTATCCGCCGGCATCCTATGTGAGTGTGGCTGAGGCTCACTCATGTTGGTATAAGCCCACATCAACATTTCATGTCATTACATCGCATTTTGCCATTGCCTCGGTTTGCGTTTTCGGGACAATTCCATGCTTTTGGTGTCATTTCGCCTCATTTCGGGACTGTTTTCCCTCATATTTTAGTGCTGAAATTCTATTAGAATGATTGCTTTCCATTTCTATGTCATTGCATCGCATTCTGTCATTGCCTCGGTTTGCGTGCTCGTGTGCACGCATTTCGAGGCAATTCATTTTCATCCACCGGCATCCTATGTGAGTGTGGCTGAGGCTCACTGATCTTGGTATAAGCCCATATCTTATTTCCATGTCATTTGCATTGCGTATGCATTGCCTCGGTTTGCGTGCCCGTGTGCACGCATTTCGAGGCAATTCATTTTCATCCACCGGCATCCTATGTGAGTGTGGCTGAGGCTCACTCATGTTGGTATAAGCCCATATCTTATTTCCATGTCATTTGCATTGCGTATGCATTGCCTCGGTTTGTGTGCCCGTGTGCACGCATTTCGAGACAATTCATTTTCATCCACCGGCATCCTATGTGAGTGTGGCTGAGGCTCACTCATGTTGGTATAAGCCCATATCAGGTTTGCATGTCATTTTCTCGGTTTGCGTGCCCGTGTTTCGAGGCATCTCATTTTCATAGAATAGTGCATACTAGGTTGTATCTTAGATTGTATTCTGTCATTTTCTCGGTTTGCATGCCCGTGTGCACGTATTTCGAGGCATCTCATTTTCATAGCATAGTGCATACTAGGTTGTATCTTAGATTGCATTCTGTCATTTTCTCGGTTTGCATGCCCGTGTGCACGCATTTCGAGGTATCTCATTTTCATAGCATAGTGCATACTAGGTTGTATCTTAGATTGCATTCTGTAATTTTCTCGATTTGCGTGCCCGGGTGCACGCACTTTGAGGCATCTCGTTTTCATAGTATGGTATATGTTAGGATTGCCTCTTAGTTGCATGTCATGCATATTGCATCGTGTTCGGGATAGGAGTTAACCCGGGCACGGGAAACGAGGTACATTTCGTACTCCGAGTGACGGAATGTGTCTCAATTCCCAGTTACCGACACTCCGGATTATCCATGATGGAGTTAGGTTTTAGCTGTGTTTTCATGTGCATTCATTCTATATTGAGTTGTGCAATTCGACTCCTCGGCCATCATGCCTCGGTATGCGTGATTGGTGGCACGAGGATCGAGGCATGCATATATTTGTGAAAATACATTGCTATGCCCGCTTCCTGCTCTCTGTTGCAGCAAAATGAAGAATCAGCAACTTTTCGGAGTCTGGCACGCTTTCCAAGAACAACTGCTAAACAGAGGCTAATTGGGGCATCCCGGTGGATTTCCGCGTAAAGCAGCCGGACATGCATCATCCATCAGAAGCAAGGCAGTCCCTGGCTTGCATGCCAGTTTTATTTATTTTCTTAGTTAATTTGTTAATTAATTAGGAATTTGTAGTTTATTTGCTTTCTAGTTAATTCATTAATTAATTAGAATTCTGTAATATTTTGGACTGTAATATTCTTTTATTTGGGGACTGTAATATTTGGACTGTATTATTTATTCGGACCCTCTGCGCGAGGGCATAACTGTAATAAGTGTGCGTGAGTGTGTTGTATGTCTTCCAACCCCACGTCTTTCTCCCTTTTATTTATCCGCTTATGATGGTTAGATTAGGGCATGTTTAAATTAGCATACAGCATGACAGCATGTTTGCATCATTCATCTGTATCGCATGCACCGGGCTTGGCGCATCATACTAACTGCATTGTACTTTCAATTCCAAATTGAATACATGATAGCTGTAGCATTTTAGATACCATCTTAAAATAGCCGAGCCTGCTATAGTTGCATTTTGCATGTGTTGCATTA